TTGGTGTATCATGTGCTTGCCAGGGATGAACAGTTGGATTATAATGCATAGTATGCAACTTGCTCCATGTCTTCATGCTGCAGAGGTGGGAAATCACTGCACAATTTGCTTTCTCAGGTGGCCACCACAGGAATCAAGTAAATAACGTGACTTGCAGTTTCCTGCATGCCGTTTGGCAGGGTTTGTGTGCAGAATCTCAGATTCGCAGACATCAGGAAAATGCAGAAAAACCTTAAGCTTCATTTGTAAAGTTCAATTTACAATCTCCTTCATTCTGATAAAAAATGTGTCTTGGGACACAGCACTGATGACAAATCCTTGCAAAATTCAAAATTCTTTTGTTCAGAATTTTGAAAGCACTATAATGCCTGAGAGCTGAGCCTGAAAGTATTCCCAGCCTTACCCCAGACTTGTTGAAGTGAATTTTCCATTAACTTCTGATGTGTTTCCTCTTTGCAAAGTGAACATGGTTCCCATCATCATTCAAGGATACTTGGGACAAGAACTGAGGGAAATACTTAGTCCATTTACAGGACACCAACTGCAACCACTGCCCCTTATAACTGCCCTTATAACCCTTGGAGAAAGGTCCAAGGACAGTAATAACAATGGGTTGACAGTTGGACTAGATGATCTCAGTGCTCTTTTCCAACCTGAATGATTTCGTGATTCTCTGTTTCAGGGACTATCAATTATCTGTGGTTTTTTTTTTTTTAATCTTTCCTACAGTAGCACAAATTCCCTAGGGTATTTTCTGTTGCTTTTTGTTGCTATTGCTTTATCTCCACAGCTTGTTTGTTTCCAACTTCAGTGTTTCATGTTAATGGGTTAATAGTAGGTAGAAGGATCAGTGCAACCACTGATTTGCCCTTGGGAAATCTACTGACCTGGCTTCTTGGTCAAACACATTGCTTAAGAACATTAATTGTCATAACTTATTGTCACCTGATACAGAATCATAGAATCACAGAATCATTAAGGTTGGGAAAGACCACTAAGATCATTTAGTCCAACCATAAGTGATGAAATGGGAATTTCCAGATACTTTTTGTTTATACATATAATGCTACCATTTCTCACAATAGCTCTACGGTTCATTTGCTCAGACCAAGTTCCTACAACCCATGGGGTGCCGGGGCTCAGGGCATGCAAGCACTGCCTGATACAGGCAGTTTCGTGGCATAAAGGCAGGGCACTGCACAGGCACAGGAATTTGATGACAAACAGCTCCTATTAACAAAGTTCAAAAGGGCCAGGGTTGGGCGTCCCTGCCCCTCCAGTACCACACGTACGCAACATTCCTTCTGTTCATGGGAGCCAGCACCCTTAACTGCATTTCCTTTCAGTCCCCAGAACGGCTCCTGCCTCGTTAAATCAACACCTGGCAGCCTCTTAAGACTGGGCTGAATGCAAAAAGCATTCTTCCCAGGCTAAAATGCCAGACAAGAAAAAAGATCCAGTCAGGAGAGATGCATACATTTGTTTCCCGTTTCAATTGCATACAGCAAAGGAAGGAAGAACACCAATCTTTTAGTCTGATGACACCACTTTTTGCCTTAAGACTCTTTTGTGGTTAAGTGTCTACACTTATCTTTCTCTGTTATAAAAGAGCACATTATTTTTTTCACAGGAAAATCAGATTTCAAGGGGCTATTTCTTAGGTTCTGTAGGATTGCTGTCTAATTACAGGGTGTGCCAAAATCACCAGGGGCAGAGGCAGATAATTCTGTTTACAATCAGTCACCAAGATGTTATAAAAGGTTCATTAAAATAAGCAGGAGACAGAACTAGAGAAATCTCTTGGCAGCAAGACAAATATTTAGCCCTTCAGGCTTTTCGTTGCCAGCCAAATAGCATCATACCATGAAGTTGTTCTTCTTATCATTATACTGAAAGGAAGGAAGAATTGCATTGATGCCAGGAACTATAGGAAGAACAGGCCAACATGACAATGAATTTTGCACTTACATGGAAATGATTATTCCAAACCTATAGGCATATCTACAGACAACAGAACACAGAAACTATTAAGAATTCGCTATTGACCATGTTTCTGCTACATTTAGTTTAATCAAGCGTCCTACAGCTCTTTCTTTGTAAAACAAAAATCCATAGAACAAAACAAGAAGTCAATTTTTTTTTTTCTAATTAAATCTCCCCTAGCCAGTGGAGCAATAACAGAGGTTAAACCATTAGGTATGAGATTCAGTGGCTTTTTTTGTTGGTTTTTGTTTGTTTGTTTGTTTGTGTCTGCTTGTTTGTTTGTTTGTTTGGTCAAAGCTGTTTTTATCTCTTTCTTCAAAGTGACCACATTACTCGCTGCTACACCACCTATAATGAGAGTAGCAATGTAAAGATAACGTTCTCCACTGTTCATTGACCTTGTTGATCTGTTCAGTCACAGCATCTCTGAGAGTGGAAAGGACTCTGGAGATCATCTTGTCCAGTCCCAGCTCTGTTCAAAACAGTGTAAACTACAGCAGATTGTCCTACACCATGTCCAATCAGGTTTTGAGTGTCTCCAATGACAAACAACCTCTCTTGGAAACTCGATCCACTGTTTAATCATCTTCACATGGAAAAATTAAAAAAAAAAAGAAAAGAGAGAGAGAGAGATTTTTCCGTGAAGATTTCTCTCTCTCTCTCTTTCTTTCTTTCTTTCTTTCTTTCTTTTGGTGTTTTTCTCTCTCATGTTCACTTACAATTGTATGTATTGTGGTTTGTGCCCATTGCCTCTTATGCTGTCACTGGACACTACTGAGAAGAGTCTGTTTCCATTTTCTTTTCTCCTTTTCCAGATCAGGTAAGATTCCCCTCAAGCTTTCTCTTCTCCAGGATAGACAGTGTCAGGTCTCAGCTTCTCCTCGTACAAAAGATGCTTATCTCCTGTGATCATCTTCACGGCTCTTTGCTGCACTTGCTCCAGTAAATCCAAATCGTTCTTGCCTTGGAAACCAAGAGCAGGACACATCACTCTAGACCTGCCCTCACCAGCGCTGAGTAGCATCACCCCCACTGACCAGCTGGCAATGGTTTTCATAATGCAGCCCAAGGCACTGTTGTACTTCTTTGATGCAAAAGCCCACTGCTGGTTTATGTTTGTCTTGGTTTCTATCAGGGCCCCAGGTTCCTTGCAAAGCTGCTTTCCAGATGGTTGGCCCCAGCCCTGTGGTTATTCCTCTTCAGTTGCAAGACTTTACATTTCATTTTATTGAATATTCTTGTCAGTCCATTTCTCCAGCCTGTTCACATTTGTCTGAAAGAAAGCACAAGCACTTTGTGTATGAACCACTACACTCAGTTTTGTATCCTCTGCAAACTTGCTTAAGGTATACTTTGTCCTGTCATCCAGGTCATTAATGAAGATCTTAAACAGAGATGGCCCGAACTCCAGCCACAGTCATCACTAGTTAGTGGGTTCTAGCTGAACTCCTCTCCTCTGTTCACAAACTTCTGTGCCTGATACTTCAGCCAATTTTCAGAGACTGGTTCTGGTTGTTCCCCCTTTCACTGCAGGGTGGTAGCCTTCACCTGACAATTAACTAGACTTGTTTGGCTGAATCAGCAAAATGGGATGTATTCTAGATGAAGCCCAGTGTCATATGTTTAATATTTTGAATTAAACAGAGGATCAAACTGACCGTGCAAAATATGAAGTTCTCAGAGTTTTTCAGTGCTACAAAACACATGATTCTGTTTTCAGACTTCTGGATGTCTTGTCCCTGTGCAAGTCCTTCAAAGCTGTGTCTACTACTTGAAATAAAGCAGTACAACAAGCAGTGTGCTTATGAGATCATAACATCATTGCTGGCAATGCCAGCTTTTCAGTCCATCCAGACACTAAAAGACCAGTGAACAGTAACATTTAAGTCACATCAGATCTTGAAAGTGCACACAAAAAAGCAAGTTCTAGAGAGTATGTCTGGTCAGTGAATTCCTTCTGTCTGGAAGTGATGAAATACATGGCTGTTTGGAAGGGTTTTCTTCAAGTAATGCAGGTATGAGAATTGGGTGTGAAAGTTGACTTCAAACCAAAACCATCAATCAAATGCTAAGGTATGAAATGATCCCACTTCTTTTTTATAGATGCTGCAATACAGTTACTGTATTTGAAACTTCTTCAAATCAGAAACTCCCAAACAGAAAAGAATGTCAATAAGCAGAAGGATTTGGTCCACGTTTTTGGAGGTAATGTCAGTAATAACCTGTTGTCCATGTTTAGGGCTTTCATGGGTGATGTAGAAAGATAGAAGAGATAGGTAATTTGTTAAAGGATTCTGAAACTTCCATGCTTTGAACAGTTTTCATGAACCCTGAAGCTACGGTATCAAACACTCTAATAAACAAAAGTGAAGAAAAATATTTGACTTCTTGTTTGGCAGTGTTTGCTTCGAAGACTACACTGGGTGGTAGTATGACTGTCTCTCTTCTTCCTCTGTTCCTTCTCTACTTCTAGATATCCATCTAATGCATGTTCACCTATGTTTCCACCTTGCTTCTCTTTCTCTTCCATACTACTGCTTTGGGTCAGAAGACAGCATTTATTTTTTGAGCTTCATTTCTCACTATCTTATAAAGCATTATGAAAAACAGAGACTGGCAAAATGACTGCTGCGTGTTATGGAGCCAGTCCCCACCAGGGAGCTTGGGTGAAAGTGCCAGATGCCAAGGAGCAGCTCAGACTTCTGTGATCCCTCTGATCCCCTCAGCTTCCTTGCAGAAACTGAGAACTCTAAGAAATGGCAGCGGCAGGCTAACAAAAGTAATGCAAATCACCCTGACAGCCAAACCCTTTATGTGAGAGAACCACCTGGTCGGGTGAGCGATTGTCCTCTAAATACATTTTCCAGACAGTTTCCTTTGGCAATCAGAGCGGGTGGCCTGAGAAGAATGCTGTACTGGGCCACTTGGTGGGATGGGAAGGTGGAAGGTGAAATGCAGCTTATTTCCCCATGCTCAGAGGCTTGGTGGAAATCTGGTTGGCAGTAGTCATAGCGTGCCTACTTGTGGAGCTGATGCCACATGGCAATCTGTCTTCTGGGGTTCCTCAGCATTTCTTCCCAGTGGTTCCTCTCTGTGCCTGTGACATGCAAACCCAGGCTGCACTTGCCGAGCACTTGGCTTTGCCCAGCACCATCCTGGCTCAGAATTTCCAGCTCCACACTAGAGGCACGTAGCAGCTCGTGAGGCACCTCAAACATGATCATCTCATTCCAGACGGGGTTGATCTTGTGCTTTGCACGTTTGGTCTGCTTCTTCTTCAGCTTCAAGGACTGATGCCTCAGGGTCACCTTGACAGAAACGTCTACAGAGAAATCAGAGAGACTGTATTAATGCACATTTAATAAAATGAATGCCAGAGAACTTTAACTATTGACAACAGGCTGAGTAGGAGAAATATGAGAAACGTTGATCTTGGGGTTTTTAGCTTTCCCTTTTAAAAAAGTTGTTGAAACCTCTTTAGCTTTCTGAGTCAACTGTTCGGGTTTTTTTTTCTAGTGAGCACCATATTTCCCACTTTCTATATTTACTTCATAGCAGAAACAATAATCTCAGTTTTTCTTGCTATTCCACTCACCATTTCCAAGTAGATCTTTCAGCTGCTTGGAATGGAGATTTTTAGCCTTAATAATCACCACGAGCAGGCGGTTTGCAGCTGGCAGATAGCTGATAGAGAGCAGAACTTCCCCATAGCCTGTAGATGGCTCCTGGAAATTGAGATGTATAAAGAGTTAATTTTGTATGCAATCTAGGTCTAACATTAGGAAAACTAAATAACACAAGATGAATTTAAGGTCATAGACTGATCAAACTGTGTCCCCATCTCAGTACAGGAGACTTTTCCAGTTAAATTGGATCAGATCAAACCAGGCAGCATATTCAAGTAACCTTGTTCACTACAGGGATCAGAACACAATGATTACTCCTTTCTTTTGCTACTGGAAAGCCACTGAGGGAAATTTAGGTTAGATGTTAGTATGAAATTCTTTATTCAAAGTATGGTGAGGCACTGGTACAGACTGTCCAATGAAGCTGTGGATGCCCCTTTACTGAAGGTGGATGGGGCCCTGGGAAGCCTGAGATGGTGGGTGACAGCACTGCCCATGGCAAGGGGTTGGAACTGAGTGGGCTTTGAGGTCCCTTCCAACTCAAGCCTTTCTATGATACCATGAACTACATCCTAACAGCTATTTCCAGTGGAATATTTGATTGGAAGAGAATTTGGGGCTGAACTCTGTGTAAGTATTCCATCATTTTGTGAGAGACTATCTAGCTGTCCTTGATTTATATCCCCTACTTCCATTACTGCTCTTTTTAATTCACTCATCACTTCTGTGAGGGGTCTCTGAGCAGACATGGTCCCAGGCCTCCACTGCTTGACTGTCAGGCTGTCTGGGAAAGAGTAGGTGAAGCGTTGGCTTGTGCCACCCAGCTACCCTGGAGCTGGAGTTGAACCTTCTTTGTCAGCCTTATCTGGTGGTAGAAAAAACAACAGCCATCCTAAAATCAGCTCAGCACAGTGCTCTACTCTTCCTCTGTTCTGGCTTCCCTGCAGTCCATATACAGCTGTTCCTGTTGCCTCAGTGGGATTAACCTCGGGGCAAATGCTCTGAAAAATCAAGCATTCACTTCATGGGGCCAAATGTATTTTGGTTTTGGGTTCTTTGATTCCTTTCTTCCCATTAGCAATTGTCCTCTTATCCTCCTGACCTTTATTCTGCTCTCTCCCTTGCGCTGTACAAATATCCCTGAAGGCAGAAAAAGAGGAAAATGACCTCTCATCAGCTGAGCTTGCCTTGGAAAGCAGCACCTCTGCCATGCGAGGAAGGAAAGGAATTGCCCGCCGTGCTTGCAGAGCTGCAAGCCTATGGCGAGGGCGAGACGGATGTAGTTACTCTCCATAAGTGCAAGATTGTGACAGAAATCTGTTTTAGTGTGAGGTTAATGACCCAGAAGAGACACAGAAGCCAATGTCAATTCAATAGACTCCCTTTGGACTCCTTAGTGTGATCTACAAGCTTTAGGATGGACAGCCCTCCTCTAGGCCATTTCTGTGCTCTCCACTTGCAGTTCTAAGTGAGCCATAAATATTTCAAATTAAGTTTTCAGCGGGTTACTTCCAACAGGCAAGGACAAGCCCTCTGTATGCTTCCCGTGAGGTGACTGACTCTCCAGAAAGCACGGCTGTCATCACTGTCTGGTTTGAATGACTTATTTGTCGTGCACAACTCAGGTGGGAGGCCATTAGCAAGGAAGCCTGAAATTCAATCCCAGATCAGTCTGAGTAAATCTTCCTTCATGCACTCAGGTAGCAACAAAGGGCTTGTATATGTTTCATTTAAACAAATCCTAATTGCCCTAAATGCAAGTACACTGTAAGAAAGAAACACAAAAAGAGGCAGATTTAAATGGCTGTGTGTCCCTGACAAATACAAATATCACTTTAATACAAAAAATAATTTTGGCAAGTTATGAACTGCTTTTGTTTACACATCCACCCTGTTTCTCACAAAGTCTCATTCTGTAGCTCTTGGCTAGAAGCTGGTTGCTCTAGCCCCATGCATAGGCAAATGTTGTAAATGCTGAGAGGCTGGGTGCTGCAGTGGGCTGTAAATGCACATGCACTCGTGTGCACATGCACTCACTGTGCACACACGACACATGTTGTGGTCATGGCTTTTTGGCCTCTAACATTCTGATCGAGTTCTTGACCACCCTGTATCCACATGAAACCAAAACTGTAATGGTTGGTTTCTGCTGAAGATTTGCACGAAGAGTCTGAGCCAAAGGTTCTTTTCCTTCTCCCTCTTTCTGTGCACTGAGGATAAGAGGCATCAGGGGGTCAGTGGTGAGTTACTGTGCAGGGCACCATGAAATCACAAAAGAAAAGGTGCTATGCAAGCAACCACTATCATCACTGTCATTAGCAAAGCAGTGGGAGGGAAGGAAGACAAGATAAGGACATCAGTCTGCAACATCTGTGATTTGCATTGCTCACAGCACTCTGTGAATTCCTGAATACTAATTACATTACCTGGTTAGCTGCAAGCTCCCCTCTGAGATCTTTCTCTTCTGTGGGAGAATTAAAAAGAGGATAGGAATGAAATTTCTGTGGCTCACAGCTTTTCAAGGAAATGTCAGACTTTAAACGAAGCCCACTAACTTTGTTCCTGGATGGATGCTGTCAAAAATAGCTGCTCTTTTTTGATCAGCTCTTCCTCACTGCCTCCTGCTCTGGTTCTGAATGAATGATTCAGGATCTGTATATAAGCTATTTGTGCAAGGGCTGGCTCTCTCAGGTCCCAGATGACGCAAATTCAGCTTTCACTGCACATCCTCAGCTCAAACTGGGGCAGTACAGTCCAGCAGTACAGTTAGTGCTAACCTTGCACTGTCAGCCTGGAGTAGAAATGAGTGCTGTCCTGTTTCTGTGTGTACCCAGAGTACCTAATATGCCAGGACTCTGCCAGGTGTACATGAGTGAAAACCAACCACCGCTGTGAACTGGTTGCTAATTGAGTATTGTTTACAAAGTGGATATTGCAGTAGACTGGGAAGGATGGAGGGCTCTATTTATCATGGTTTAGAGATTTATGTAATTATGACTTTCATGAGAATAATTTCTTTTGGACCTCCATTTTCTTCAGCAGCAAAAACTTGCCAGATCTTCTGCCCTTCCCTCAGCCAGAGGTTTTTCTTTAGTGTAGAGTATGTTGCTATCAGGTGCCCTACCCACACCCGGCTCTGCTGAGGCACAACCTAGCAGCTGAACTTTTGCTACCACAGTCCCTGCCATTGTTTACACACAGAAACGCACGTAACTTCCAGACATAGGCTTTCAATTGCAGATATCAGCATCAGATTATCATGTAATTGAGGGAGGAGGAAAGGGAGTTTTAACACATCTTAAATTCCGGGAGCTGTAGACAAAGGGGCTGGGCTGATGGGCTTTTGATTGCTTTCTGAAATGGTTATGTCAGTACAGAGTTCTACTATGTCACCTTTGCAATCACACATTGCCTTTCCAAACTGGGGTCCAGATGCACGGAGCCACCCACCCCTGGATGTGCAGCTGTATTGGAAGAGGGCTTCTCTTGTCCACACAATAACTAGAGCCTCTGGATTAGCATACAGACTGAGTCCGTACCTTCTCTGGGGTCTTTAGCCTTTCCCACTGGCCCATCCCGAAGTCCTCCATGTTAGCAAGGCTCAGTTTAAGTTCCCCCACAATGCTGTGTCTGGAGAACTTGTCGCAGTTTCTCAGGGTAAGAGTCAGTGTCCCCTCTTGCATCTCCTCCTCAGTTAATGGAAACCGCAGGGCCTCCTCCCAGAGGGTGTGAAGCACCTTCTTCTTCAGCTCTGTCTGGGCTTCAGTCATGCCAGATTTACTCACCAGTGTGCCCAGTATGTAGCAATGGCAGCCAGCATCTTGGTCACTACTCATTTTGCCATGCATAGCTGGAAAGGAAAGATTGACTGTAAATACCTTTCACAAAGCATAGTCCTGAAGAAGTCCAAGTAGAGAATCATCAGTAGCAGATTTCTGCCTCTTACCTTCCAGAAGGGCCACACACAGCTCAGCTTTTTGTTGATCATACGTGAGGGAATAGCGCAGTTCAGGGACCTGGTTACAGCTGGCTGCCTGCTCGGGCTTCAAATGCTCTGTGACACACACATCCTTTACCACACCTGGAACTGAAGTAACCCCATTAGCAAGGAAGTCTTTTCCTTCCAGGATAGACAAATCCATCTTGTCTTAACTCTTCTATATGGTTTACTATTCTTGTAAGTTGTACGCAGGAATATCATTTCTGTTCCTTCTTCCCTTATCGTATCTCCTTGCTGCCTTCTCACACATTCAATTCCTTCCACAGCACTTGGACAAGCTTCCTGCTCCCTCCACCAACCATGTGTTCTAAGGTGGTTCACGCATTTGCACTTTCACCTTGTGCCAAAGCCAAGGTGCCTAAACTATTTGCTTGTTACTGTATTGTTTTATATACATTTTTTACACACGTTTGTGTAAAAAACCCTTGTGGTTTTTTTTTAAATGAGAATTTGAGCCTGCTTTAGAGCTACCATGCAACTCTGCATTAATTCAGGCCTCTATAACCTTTTTTAAAATTTATGTTAACACTACAGTCTTTGTCATGCAGAAAGCCAATGTGACATCTATTCCCATGGCACTTAACCATACTGAGGATAGTGAGCTTGGGAAGGTGTGAGGCAGTTTATCCATGTATGATTTTGAAGCTGAGAACACATTGCATACTGAAATAAAGTAAGAGGCAAGACTAAAAGGGAAGCCACATCTTTCTATCATCAATATCTTTTATCTGTAAGATCTGTTCTTACTCACATAGAAAATAATAGAGGGACTGCACATTTCCTTCAAAAAATCTCAGCCACAGTCCCAATCAGTTCAGTGTGGCACAAAAAGGAGAATGCAACAAGTCTTGTTTTATTTCAGTAATATGAAATCAGGTGCAGCAGGAAGCAGATTTGTGCCATTAGCAGTGCAGAGGGGCTCTTACACCAACACGCTTATGTAGAGCTTTAATCCAAATGGTGCCATCATCTTTCAGGCTCTACACCTTATGACTGTCTTCCTGAGACCAGGGATGTGTCTCAAACAGTCTTTTCTTCTAATGCAACTGCGTCCCATGTGTAGTGGAAATGCTAAGCCAAGGCCTGAACCAGCGATTGAGCACCTGGTGGGAAGGCAGGGCCAACCCAGGGGAGCTCAGGTGCATGCAGTGTGCCTAAGTGAGTGGAAGAGCTGGAGCCAGGATCCACCCCTTCCCAGACCCCATTTAAGGGTTGGCAGTAGAAGCATGGGTGTCTCACTGGAGATCTTTGCCTGCCTGAGGTTTTCTAAAGGTAAGTAGGCTTTCTTATTTTGTTTCTGTGTTTACAGATGTTATGTTTGGGTTAGTCCCCATTTGCTGCAGTCTGGGGTTTTGCTGTCCCTCTGCTATTACTGTATTTTCATCACAGAGTAGCATTACACTGTGATACTCTTTAGTTTTTTTGTGCTTGCAGGTTTCAGGTGGAGGGGCTTTAAGTGATTTATGTTAAGTGGCTCCCCACCCCCCTTCCTCCAGTAAGGACAAAAATACACTCATAGGTAATAAAAGTAGAAAGAGCTCAAAAAAAAAAAAAAAAAAAAAAAAAAAAAAGTCATGACAGATGGCACTGTGTCTCTGGCAAATCACCAGGAAGGCTTCATTAATATGGCAATATAGTAACCATAGGAGTCAGTTATGGTGTTAAAATAACAGCTATGCAGGTAAAAATTGTTATGGAAGCAACCCAGGCATGCTTCCAGGTGTATATAATTAATGTTACATTTTTCTCTTAGGCTCCAGGAATCTTACGTTCTAGGCTTTCACTTGCTACCTTTTGGACTGGCTGTAAAACAAGAATGCTGTTTGGCAAAAAAATGTCCTGAGGTGTCAGCCTTTAGTTTCACTTCACATTACAACAAACCAAGACCATCTCGTAGAACTGGTGGAATAAAGAAGCAGGAAAAATAAAGCAGAAACTTGAACTCATTCCACTGATGTCCCTGATACAGGCTGTTACTGGACAGCTAGCAGTCTTTCTGGAGGAGCAGTACTGCCTAGTATTTTACCAGGTATTCCACCTGTATTGTGGCAACAGCTCTTGGTAAAACTTCACATTGAATACATGCTTTTCAACATGAAACCTGCTTCCCAAGAGCAGGTTCTTCATCAACAAAGTGTTTAGATAAAAAAAAGAAAAATACAACCAGTTGTAATTATGGATTTGTTGTCTAAATTTCCTGATGTACTACTTGATTACTTAATATTAAACACATGCATTTAAAAAAGAGCTCACAACCCTCATGGTAGGAGAGTGAAAAGCACTCAGTGTCTTCATTTCCACGCTTATTAGTCTAACTAGCATCACATAATGTTCAAAAGTATTGAAGATCTACACCCTGAAAAGAAATCTTTAGTCTGATAGTCTGAAGACCAAATGTTCCTACCGTTTTGAGGGAGAATGAACAATTCTTCATTTACTTGTATCTTCATCCTGTTCTCATCCAAAACAGCGTGTTTTACAGTGGCTGGTTCTTCTGTTGTCTTCAAGGAGTATTGTGTGTAGTTAACAACCTCAGGTGAAGTTACAACAGGTTTGGGGCCATAAATGTTAGGAAACTTCAGGAGAGCTCGAGGCTGGACTGGCTCTGCAGTTTTCTTAACATTGAACTGAAAATTTAAGACAGTATTTATTATTTTTTCATTAATTCTTTTGAATCTCTATGTCAAATGAACTGATACAAAGGGAAATAAGATGGTGTCCCTGGTCATTCTTGCTGCCATTGTTTCTCAGGTTAGAGAAACAACTGCCTTCCTATGTGTCAGAAGATTTTCTTGCCAAATCTGTTACCTGTCTATTTGGTGCATGTCTTCTTGATTAAGAGTTTACCGTTACCTCTGATTTATACAACATTTCAAGCAAACTTGTAGAAAGCATTAGGAAGGCAAAAGCACAGGTCACAGTCATGTAAAAAGACAAAGGAGAAATGGTTGAGCAGACCAGCTCTGCAACAGCATGCCAAGAATAGTAGAATCGGTGGTCTATCAGTTTCTCGGATATCTGTTGTCTCTGCGGACCAGAGTTCCATCTGATCCTTAGAAACATGTTACTCTTTTATTATAGAAGAACTGACGTTTTGTTTGAGTTTGTTCTTACAAATTCATTTATCTGCTGACTGCTGAACATGGTATCAACAGAAGAACTTGAAAATTGGTGTAATGCCCTGGCAGACTGGGCAAAGGTTGACACAGGATTGTATTTTCTCCCAGCAATGAAAAATATTTTAGTGGAATGTAACAGTCATCTTTTCTTCATATCTCATGAAAGAATCCCATATGCTCACAACTGAAATAATTTCTTATTCATTTATATTTGGGTTCATCAACAGGAAAGAACAAAAGCTGACTAGCAAATGAGCCTGACCCTCTCGTCAGATTTTGTTAATATTTCCAAAGTATGTAAAAGAAAAAGCGGAAGTAAGACTGCCATTCTGTTTGATTATTGTGCACTGGGATTCTCTCCAACCCCACTGCCTGCCAACCTATTCTATGTTCAGTGTAGAATGAAGGTGAGCCAAAAAGTATTCATAACTGTAATTAAGTTCTTCATTAGTGTCATTGTTTCCTATTAATGAAGAATGTAGATGATGCCCTGAAGCATTTGTCTGTGTTGGGACTGTGTGGTCCCAGTTTGTATGTCCTGAGGGAGGTTAGCTATTCCTCAAGAAGTAGAGCTGGAGAAAGAGAGTAGTCTTGGTCTCTAGATCTCTAGTCAATATTCTGCTTTTGTGTATCATAGCACTGCAGTTACATGGATTTGGCAGTGATAAAGAGCTAATTAGGTCACTCACTCCATCTTCTCAAGGCAACTGGTGCACTGATGTTTAGGAAGTCCACTGTGTAGCAGCACTTTCTCTTATCTAATTTTAAGGACACTTACACAGGAGTGAGTTGAAAAAGAACCACATCGCTGTGTGCAGATACCTGCCTAGCATTCAGCTGAGTTTAGGTATTATGTAAGTCATATAGTGCTGGTTTATAATAGCAATGTAGTGAAATCCCTCTCGTAGAGATGTGAGTCTCATCAGTCCTAAAATACATAGGAAGTTTAAGTAACTTATCAAAGCCTTTCATTCTTCAGATCAATACCAATCAACCAAAATATGTTAGGAACTAGTAGACAATAGCTTGAAGAAACAGGATATTTTTGTTCTGCAAGGACTCTAAACACTCATACAGTGTGTGCTATGGCAGCTACTGCCTGTTCTTTCTTTCTTGACCCTGCTGTATGAGGCTGCTGTTTTAGCCATTGACCATCACACCACAGCAGCAAGCCTGGGTGCTGTGTGCATCTCACATATGAAGCACTCTGAGGAATCCTTTGGGATGAAAAATACTGTACAAGCTTGAGGTATTGTTAGCACAATCTTCTCTGCTTGCTAAAAGGAAGATACTTAGTCAGGAAATCCATCAGCGCACTGCAACTAAGAGCTCCACTGGGCCTAAATATTCTTCTAGTCTGTCTGCTCAGTAGAATTAGAGATGAGAGACATATGTGAGCACAGTGGGACTAGCCCACCCCCTCTTCCAACTGCATCTGCCTCTGTTTATTATTTTTGCTGCCAGCTCTGTTCCCAAGTGCTGTCTGTAAGCTACTTGCAGAGCTGTGCCCTATGGAAGTTCCCTTTGCAGCAGCAGTATCTTAAATACAGAAGAATTCTGGTAGTTCTGCATAAAATGTGTGAAAGCAAAGACACCAAAATTAGCTGGGATGCTCTAGCTGACCCTTCTTTGTCTGGCAGTATTGACATTCAGAAAACACACCAGGTTGTTGCCACTTCTGGATGTGTTTAGCACCTTTTGCTGACACTTTGCACATCTACAGCAGCTAGTAATTGTTCTACGGATGTATCTTTGTATTTGAACTCTTCCTTCTCAAGTATGCAGGGCATGTCCATGGGGAGCCTCTGTCTATAGCAAATACAAGCATCGGTGTCACGGGAGACATGCCAAGTAAATAAAATACAGACTTGCTTCATCTTTCTATTGTCATTTCTGTTTTTTAGAATCAGTGACCCTGACAAGCTTCAGTAATTAAGTATGCCAAACAACGACTAGGATATGCAGTTGTCCCAGTAGGGCAATTCACAAATGTAGATTGCAGAGGATGTAACTAAGGCACAAGAGCAGAACTCAATTTGAGATTTATTCCTTCAAGGAAAGAAGGCTAATTGTGATTCAGTGAAAGCACAGGAGAATGCATGTGCCTGGCAACAAAACTGTTTAAATTGGAAAGAATTGTTAAAGAATATGCAAACTATGATCACTTTGCTCTTTCTGTTACAGAATGCTCATTTGGCTGCAATAATTTGTCCAGATTTCTTAAAGAAACAAAGGAAAGGTCTATAATGCTAAAAACATTAAGTCATTTGTAGAAGAGTGATACACTGAGGATAGGTTGAATAACTTGATGTGTTGATCAAACACTGGAATATGTTGTGGCAAGACCTGATGTAGAAATGTTGTGAGGACTATAACCCATGAAATGCTGGGTACTGGAGTCTTAATTGTATTTGGGGCCATGGCTGGACTTCTTGGTGACTCGCTGGTATTTCACTAGTGTAAAAAGGATAATGCCTTAAAGGACAAGCTCAGAGTGTATCAATGCTTTCCCAAAATATTTCACAGAAGGCTGTGTGAAATCAAGTAATCATTCCAAAAATTAAGTTCAAATAATGATTTGAGAGGTTTTTGTGATTAAAAAAGCAACAACAACAAATCTTTTGTACAAAGAGATTAGGAAAAAAATGCTATGCAAAGTGATGATGACTGTCAAAGATCCACACTTCTCATGCACTTTAACAGCAAATTTCAAAAATCTCAACACTACTGCACGTCGTTTTATGCAGAAGTTGTATGGGTTAGACAAGAAGGGAGGTTGGTGAAGACTTCACAAACTATCAAAGTGGGCAGATAGCAGCTGAAATTCATCTTAGGAAAATACAAGCCAATGCAACACTAGAAAGTGTTGACCACGCTTGTGGAAGAATGGTCAGAATTAGCAGGGGATCTCCAGAGAAGTCCTAAGCTTGGTGCAGGTGTTCATTCAGTCATGGTCAGTGGAGCCTCCTCCCATCCTCCTGCCATCAGAAGCTATTGTGATGCTATTCTGCTTCATGTGCTACAGTATAACTTATAGATATGGTCATCTTTCCTCAGAATAATCTGTAACAGGAGAATGGGTGAAGCACTGCACTGAGAGCTAAAGAGCAGTACCCAGAGAAAGACTGAATACATAATGATACACATTACAGAGAAGTTCAGCTAGGACTCCTGCTATGCTCTTTAGTACAAAAATGATAGGCAGTTCAGCTAATTAAAAGGCAAATGAAGACTCTTTTGCAGTGGATCACCAGCCTTTGGACTTGGTTGCTGTGGCATAACATTTGGCTGAACAGCCAGGTGGAAGTGATGTGGGCTTAGGCACGTATAAGCCTCAAGAGCCAACAGGTATTATTTCCAGGGACTGATGGGTTGCTATAGCTCATGCTGAAGACTGTAATCAGCAAAAGAAATCAGTCAAATGTTTCCCTTTGGAGAAGAGCTTCTCATTAATAAGTGTACTAGAAGGGTCCTGTAATTCCCATTGCTCTCCCTTGCACTGGTCTCAGGAATGAATCAAGGGATATTCTGGATTCTAACAAGAAAGAAGGCTCATGCAAGGATTACTGATGTTACCAGTATGTCACACTGTTCTTACAGCGAGTAACAGAGGAATCCACAGCATGCTGAGATTGTTCAGTCATCACAACACAGATTCTCACTCGCGTTTTTATTATCACTTCAATCCCTGGTTTTAACTTCACCAATAATTAATCTTCCCCTTCCCCCCCAGTTAGAGGGGCAGAGGGAAGAAGAAGGATGATTTATCTCGAGAAACCAGCTGTTGAGAGGGAACTATCCTGCAGGAACCATAAGATGCTGTGAACAGAGCTAGATAAATAGCTGGTACAGGAGATCTCAGCAGGAATCTTGTCTTTATAATGCTGTGTGCCACCTGGTAAAGTCCAGTCTTCTGTCCTCGGGAAATGATTTCCCTTGTGACCAGACTGACAGCTGAGCAGCCTTTTTTCCTCCCCTCCTTCCCTATTTTTACCATTAACAGCTTTTTCTTTGGCAGCGTGGCAGCTGTGGGTCACCCAGCTCCCATCTCCGTTCCCCTCAGTCTTCCTCCTATTAACATGATGTTACATTCTGAACACAGTAAGCAGATAAGTAGGCAGCATAAACCACATGCTGAACAGCTTAATAGAGAAGTTGCATCCCCCCCTCAGCATTTAAAGAAAAAGCATAGAGTGAGAGATGGTGTCTTACTTGCTGGGCTGGTTGAAGCACACTGGGCTTAGTATTTTCTGTGTCCTCATCTTGGTCCTTTTCTGAGAGTCCTTTCCCAGGTTGCTTGCATTTGCAGAAGCAGGTGAGACCACAGAGGGCAAGGATGCTAGTTGCAGTCCCTAAGGTAGCCCCAAGGGCAATAATTGGGGCAGACAAAACCATTGTCTTGAGCTGCACAGGAACGAAAAGCAATGAAAACCTGTGACTCCTTCTCCTCCGTGGGAGAGCAGCTGTTTTACATTCACTCCGTTTTCTAGCCTGGCTTCATTCTCCTTGGAAGTCTGAAAACAATTCTTTTGTGCAGGAAAGAAAAGGGACCAATCTAGAGACGGAGATAAATCATCCCACCTTTGCTAGGCAACAAGGTTCCCTTTCTATCCTGATAATGATGTTTCTGCTCCAGGTCGGGTAGAGGAAGTAGTGTTTGTGGTAGCTGTAATATCCATATAGCTGCAAACAGGCAGTTTTCATTGAAGCCTGTTCTCCAGCTCCACTGGGAAAAGTCTGATGTGTGATAGAGAGGAAAGACGTCAGCAGAAGGGGCTGGGCCTTGCTAGCTAGCTCACAGAAAGAGCATCCAAATATTTGATCAGCTCTCCAGCTGTCTTTCTGAGGGCTAGCCTGCTCATTTGCTCAAGAGGTTGAGGTTTTTCTATTTTAACATAAAGATAGTGATTGTCAGAAGTGCTGGCTTGAGTCCCCTGGTAGTGATATGCATGAGAGCACTATAGTCAGAACAAAGCCTCTGTCAGGCAAAACTTCCCCTTTCTTCAAAGGGTGGGGAATGGACACCTGCAAGGGCTAAACACTGTCCCACACCTCACCTCCTTCCCCTCAGAGTACAGGTCTGCACCTTTCAGAGCTGCTTTCTCCAGCTTTAGTGCAGACCAGCATTTCTGTTCAAAAAGACAGCAGAAAATCCTATCAAACAAGGCACACTGATGCATGTGCTTTTTCCTCTGGAGAGAATGAGAGAGCAAACAGCATATGCTGAGTATTAGTCACACTGCTTACTACACCAGTGTCAGGCAGTGAGCCAACGAGCACAGTGAAAGAATCCACTTGAATAGACCTGAAGGGCCACACAGTTCTCTCAGACTTCCTTTGACTCATTTATTTTTGCCTTCTTTCTCAGACTGCTCAAGTTGGAGGAGAGGAAAATCAATTCCACTTCTCAATGTGTTTCTTGTGGCACAAATAACTGTTTCCTGGGCACTTCACAAAGATTACCCAGTGGCTTGAAGATGGCTGTAATTCTGGGTCAGTATGTAACTGGGCCGTAGTGAAACTAGTAAGCAAGGTGCCAAGTGTTCCTTATATGGGTCTGGAAAAAGTAGTCAGATCTATTTCCTTTGTCCTTCTATTTTGGAATACAGCTTCTGTCTGTGGATCAGGAAAAAGAGTAAACTCTATAAATAGAACTGTTAAGAAAATGTTATCATGACCACTCACCTTTGTTCACTTGCAGAAGTCATGTTCACCTCCCTCTCTCAAAGCTTCCCTCACATATCCAACTCACATTTTAATTTGTAAAGACTTCTCTTTAAAACTGGACATTCTGTCATCTTGCTGCCTGCTCACTCACCAAGGTTTTCCAGATACAAGCCTCGACCCCTGCTTTCCAACTCCCTTGGTTCCTTTCAAGAAGGGGATTGTGATGTACTCCTTATCCAGAGACAATTCACTGATATACTGCTGAGCCCTTGGGAACGGACTTTTCCAGCTCTGTCCACAGAAGGAAAATCTAGAGTGTTGTCTTCTGCATATACATACAAGAACATAAAAGTGACCAAACCAGGCTGAATCACTGACATATCTCAGTAGTGGGAAGAACTCTACATTCAAATAGTTTGATAAACGCTTTCTTTGCTTCTTAGTCTTTGTGGCTCAGGAGCTTTTAATGCCTTGAACACATCCTCGTGCTTTACTTTGCTGATCTGATCTTTATATGACACAGACAGAATTTTGCAACGTTTTCTTACTTAGCAAATACATGCAGGTTCTTCATTCATCCCATAGTTGAAGTGGTAACATCGTAATCAGAGTGCCACGAGGCCTTACCTTGAAATTGAAGGTAATTTATGGATGTTAGGAAAATTTTCTTCTCAGAAAGAGAGGTGAGGTGTTGGAACAGGCTGCCAAGGGAGGCGGTGGAGTTGTTGTCCCTGGAGGTGTTTAAGAAAGGTGCAGATGTGGCACTGAGGGATGTGGACTAAAGCAGTAACAGGCATGGGCTGATCGTTGGACTGGATAATCTTACTGGTCTTTCTAACCTTAATGATTTTATGTTCCTATGGTTCTGTGAATTTGCCATGTTGTCAGGGTATTTCATTCTTTCATCACTGCTAAAAGGAGATAGGAGAGGGGAGAATCTGAAAGAGAACAAAAAGGACAGGATGCGGTGTTTATAATGCCTTTGATTTCCTCCACAGAATGGGTGCTTTTTAAGAGTGCTAATGGAATCTGAGACAGCTAAACCAGAGGTCCCTGACATTTGGAAATCTTAAAGAAAGGAAGAAAACATTGTTAAGGGTAGAACGTGCTGACAGAGATCTGGAGCCGAGAGGGCATCCAGCTCATCCATGAGATGCAATTTTCATGTGTTTGCTACAAGCTGTTCTGAGGATTACATTAAAAACTGCTTACAGCAGGCTGTGGAAAGAAGGGCAGATAAAAATCTCTGTAAAAAGTAGTTTAATAATATATATCTCCAAGATGTTTTCTAGTGGCTCATACATGAAGATTAGGTTTTCATTGCCAGAAATGTCTTACACTGTGAAATGTAAGATGTACAGAAGATACCATATTTTAATAACAGCAATGCAGCAACATTTTGCTGCTATTGCTAGGAAAACAAAACAACTCTTGCTAAACAGGGAATATTAGCAGTATGTGAGCTCCTACGAGCAGCAGGGCAAAGACTGCAGAATTTTCTGGGTGTACTGATGCATATAACTGGTACAGATATATAATTCAGTTAGCTTTGGCACACCCAGTCACTGCATCTATCTATAAAGGTTGCTTATTTTCAGCACATCCTGTTCTTAAAAAAAAAAAAAAAAAAAAGTGGGCCATCAACATATTTCAAAGTCAGGTTTGCACTTGCTGCTTGTTTCAATACCAAATAATACAGGTTTGCCTTTTTCTTCAAGGCAGTCATAAGCTAAAGGGCGGCCAGCGTAACAACCTTCCTTACTGGACAGTCACATTTCAGTCGTGCAGAATCACATGCATTTTTTTTGGTCAGTCATATCTGCCTTTGATAATTAGGTATCTGGTAAATCGGTATTAGGTAATTGGTAAATAGACTTACTAATGTGGAAAGATGAAATCCTGCATTTGCAAGCTAAATGTTATGGGCAGGTTCAGGCCTGAAAACACATTTTATAGTCTCTCTAACCATGTATTTTCTGATACAGGAATACATATAAGAATGACAAAAGCATATACAAGATTATAAGATGAACTCCAGCGTATGACACATTTCAACTGCTAAGATTTGCTTTGGCTGTATTCATTAATACCGCCAAAGAGGTGTAAGACAAAGAAAATGAAGTGCAAGCCTTGAACAATGTCCAGTTGTCTATCTTTATAGACAAAGCAAAGAAAAACATGGCTTTTATTAATAAAGGCATCATTCCATTTCACCTCCTTTGCGCACTGAAGGAATGCAGTAGGAGTGCTGGGTCCCACCTTTTACCCACAGCACTACAGAATTTCTACTGTTCTCTTTGCTGGCAGTTGTTGGAGTCCTGTCAGCTCTGGGATCATGCTGTGGGATTGATAGTTTTGTTGTTGATTTTTACAACTTCATATAATTTCCAGAACCAAATGAGGGGTAAATCGCCTAAGGACAACATCAGTCCTGCAGGTCTGCTCAAGAGTCTGAGTTTCTGTGCTGAAATTACATTAGAAGAAAACACAACTGATTTCCTTGGGCTGAAAATAATGCTAACATCAGAGGAAAAAATGAAGCTAAGTGTACCTCGTCCACTTCAGTTGTTAAATGCCTCCTTAGCATGATTTTTCAGCTTCTGATACTTCAGATCTAAACAGTCTGTGATGACAAAATGTAAGGCACTGGCCTATCTGTGGTGCATATATTTTCTCCATTTCTTCTTTGAGATTTTCCACTGATATTTTGGGGTTTTCTGTCCATCGGTTGTGTGAAAGAGGCTTTCTGTGAGTGAAGAATTATTAGTACAAATCACATGGAGAATTAGACGGGCTTTTGTACTGCCTGGAGGTAGTTCATGCCTTACCACAAAAAAGCTTCTTAATACTATTGCCAACAATTAAAACAAGGAGGTCAACAGTTTGCAGCTTTTATTCTATCAATAGAAGACACGAAATAAACTCCAAGGATCCTTCCCTATCATGGGGGAAGCCTACATCTGAATGAAAGATGATTGTTGCAGACATTTTTCCTGAGTCAACCCACTCTGTCAGGGGTGTATTTGGCAGAAATGCTCTGACTGATTCTTGCTGAGGCATTTCACCAGGCAGAAGTGTGAGTTAACAGAAAAAAAAATGGGAAAGAGAAATGCTTGAGCCAGTCAGATTAGCCTGAAGGTGTAAGCTCGTATTTTCTCTTGTACTGACTTGTTATGAGAATCTGAGATCCTGTGCTACAGAAATGGGATGGTTTGAATAGGATGTTGGTCTAAAATAGCTTGCTAGATAATAGCAAGTTGTTTGTGCCATCCAACCTTAGGCACTGTAATTCTCATTTGATGGCAGAGGACCATATACGACTATCCTACCTTTCTTCAGAAAATGAAGCACAGCAGAAACAAAAGAGAAGGTAAAAGGCTAATGCTTAAGATGTCTATATCCCCTCCTCAAGCTTTTGTATGTTGTGGCATCAGGTTATAAGAGCTTTAAGGAAGGGATTTTGTCTTCCTTCGAGTTTAAATACTTCACCAGATGGTGAAATATTACATACAACAGAAAGAATCTTTTGTAGTCCCATTAAGACAAAGCAGTTGTCTCAACATTATTATAAGCAAAAAAAAGAGATTTGTGAGAAGACCATGGGCATTGCTTATCCATCGCTGTCACTGAAGCAAACCTATACACGCAAATCAAGTAAATGGAAGTATTAAGACAATAGAAAAGAGTTATTTTCTGAACAGGAGATACACAGTACTTAGCCTCAAGAA